GAGTAAGCCTAAGGGCTATGCTAAACTTACCTGAGGATCATGCTTACTTGAAGATAATATACATGGCACAACATTAACACAAAAAAAAAATGAAATTTTAATTAAATGGTAAGTGGAATTCATGTATTTATAAGTGACTAGTTATTTCGCATTTTTATGCTTAAGACATGTCATTTTACACTTGCCATTAAATTTACTGTTGAAAGAATATTGAAGTTGAAAGATTTTCTTGCATGCTAAATATAACCATTTTCATATGTGTTTACTTGATGCATTATTCTTAAGACTTGCAATGTATAAAAATCTCTCAGATTAATGGAGTATATTTTCTATACTTACTCTTTGATTTATAAATATTCCATCCTTATGTTTGTTTCCCCTCCCCACCTGCTCACGAAGTCGATGATCACTGAATCTGTGAGACTCACCCACGTTGTTTAATGTGTAGATAAATAGATAGTTGGGGGCATCATTGGCGAGGAATCCTTTGCAGCCGTGTAGGTAATGGCATCTCCTATCTCTCTTCCCGTCGCTCCACTGTCTAGTCGTCGAGTCATTTTAAAATTGTAATGAATGATGTGTTTAGGATTATTTTGAGACTAAGATCTTAAATATTGTGAATTTAAAAGTGTGGAGTTATGTTATCAAAACACGTGAACTATTATTGAGACATTATTATTTCAATGTGAGTTATGGATGAGATGACGATATTGATGATTGACAAAATTAATTGGTGTAGAAATGAAAATGTCAGGAAAATAGACATAGGTGGAATAAAATGCTTAAAAGGCTAGTCGGGTTGTGTAGGCTTGTTTTCATGACCTGTGCACTGGTAACAGTCATGTGAATCGGTTGTTACACGTTGACATCCACCTACCCAATGCTAGCAAAGAGGAGACTTTGCTGGTAAGCTAACCAAAGATCTACTAATCCAAAAACAAAAATAGATATTTCACAAGGTGAGATATAAAATCCCAATGAGCAAATACAAGAAAGGGAACAAACAAATAGAGGACTTTTTGTACAAACACATTTTCATTAAATATGCCATTTTCCAAATCAAATCCAAGATTTGATCAATTGCCTTCAAAAGGAAGAGATTATACATCAATTATAAGGTGTAAAATATGTCCAAACCTAAAGTCCCTTAGAAGCTTGGTCTAGGGTTGCTCAAACAAAGCCCTTTAAACAAACTCAAAATAGCCAAAACAATGTTTACTTTACTACAAGGATTAACTTTTATTGGGTGAAAGGTTGATCTTTTTTGAAATAGAGCACTCTTGGGTGTTTTGTTAGCCAAGGATCAACCCTTTGGTCCTCAGGGGTCGATCCTTGGCTTTCTAAATTTCAAAATTTAACCTTACAATCTTCCAAACTCTCTTTATTTACCTTGAGATCAATTCTTCTTTTCAATCCTTCAAATTTAAAGTTCCATAATACTAATGGTTCAACATTTGGTGAACCAAACATAATTCTATTAAGGAATTTAATCAAATCAATTCCACAACCAAATTTCCAAGGATACATTATGAACATGTAACCAAATCATGATAACGCATGCATTCCATATAAGGTATGTGAGCAAACATAATATATGAACAATCATGTGATACAATTGATCCAAATATGATAATGTGTCAACCAAATAACCAAGTGTATTAAGGCACGTGTTTGTTTGTGCTAAGGCTTGTGACCAACAAAGTCCAAATGTGCTAAGGCACCTACAAAGTCCAAAGGTGCTAATGCACCTAACCAATAACATCATCATTTCACGATTATCGTGAAAAACCAAATCATTTTCATTTCATTTTCCAAGTCATTTTGAAATGAAGTTTTCCAATCAATTGAATGGCCTATTCCCCATGAAAACATACACATATAGTATTCAGATTTACATATGTCTATATGTAACAAAACATTCCTTCAAAACCTTTGGCATCAAACACATTCAATTAATCATAAAAATTTCTCATACTTTTATAAACCTCTAAAACATGATAATTTTAAAACACATATCTACTTACTATCCTTATGCTCTCCTTTCCAAGCACTTACAACTAATCGAACCTCGCCTAATATGGTAAGATTGAATCTCACCATTAAGTTAACAATCAATCATTAATATCACCATAAATATTCCAAAAATTTGTAATACCCAAATACCAGTTTCTAGACTTGACCCATCTCCATTTGATCCCAATAATATTCCTCAATTCTTCTTCCAAACCTTACACCCAATAAATAAATATCTTACTTTACCCACTATCTTAACTTGGTGAGCTTTCTACTTGAAGGATATAGCCAAAACCTTAAAAACCTAACAAACAGCTTTTAGTTTTAGAGAGAGAAATCTAAATCTATAAAACCCATGTATTCAAAGTTGAAATCATTACCTTAAGTACTTGGAATCCAAGGATTAATACCTGTCTAGGATTTTAGGGTCTTAAAAGGAGGAGATGTTGAGAAAAAATGGATGGAAAAATGAAGAAAAGAGAAAGAATGAAGAGTGACTCGGTTTTGAGGGGTTTAGGGCTTTTATTTTTTCTATTTGGGAGTTTAGGGATTAATAAGGGTAAGGTTCAATCCCTAACATCCAAAAAGGTTGTTTCTTGAGTTTTAGGCCTAAAGGATTGACCTTTTAAGGGTCAAGGTCTATCCCTACCATCTAAAATGTAATTTGCCAAATTTTTGCTTTCAGGGATTGACCTCTCATGCACTAAGATTGACCTTTCTAGTTCAAACTTCCAAAAATTGATCCTTTTTTGCTCCAAATCAATCCTACTTTTTTCGCTAACCTCTAACTCTTTAATTTATGGTCCGTCAAGGATAGAAATTTATATTTTTGAGTAACGGAGACATTTCCTAAGCTCACCAAGTCAATTACTCATTTCAACCTTATATTTAAAAACTTAGGGTTTCACAAGATCTCTTCATGAACTATGATTTAGTGATCTCCAGATCTGAAAACCAAAAGCATGAGTTTTAATGAAGTGGGTACATAACTCAATGGGTGAACATAAGAAGGGAATAAGCAAACGTATAGAGAAGTCTTAATAAAACAATTCAATTAGTTTAAACCATGCATGTATAGTTTGAAACCAAATCTATGATGCCTATGGATAAGATTCAATGTGTGTGTGTATATATATATATATATGTCTTTGTATAAACCCAATTTGGTTTTGAAATCATTCACAAGCTTAAATCAAGTTGACAAGGTATTCTATCATGACCTAATTCGAGCCATGATCGACGCATAGGCCCAATAGGCGAAGTGCACCAAGACCAAGCAAGCCATATGTTCATATATAGATATCTATAAAAGAGATACAACTCACATGGATTGAGATCATAACTTAGTCTCATTATATTATCATTATATGTATTTGCATGTGACTATGTGTCATTCTTAATTAACATCATTTATGACATTATCAATCATTTAGCAAAATAAATAACATCTACTAACCCATGACTATACAAGATATACTCTAATATCCATCATTTATTAAGAAGGCCCAAAACTATACAACAAACAGACTCTGGTGATGGTCTTCTAAGTGAATGCCATATGACACATACCAATCAATCAAGTATTGGTGCGACTCCTTCATTTACGATCCAACTATCTTTGGATCTAAAATAAACATGAAATTTTGAAAATGTGAATACAATATTTAATGAAGGACTAGGATGGGAACAGGCTATACATACATTACGTATTTATAAATCATGTTGTTTCCTTTTGAAACCATGCAATTTTGTTGCTAAATCAAATTCATGGTGTAACAGAAACATTTAAATTAGAATTGAGTCTCTCAAAAGAAAAACAAAAAATTGAAAGATTATTCACACTTTGAGGAGCATTAATGGTGTAACTAATCAGTTACCCAAAGATAAGGTATTAAGGGAGAACGATTTGTCAGTTATTATTTTGTAGAGTTGGAGTTTAATTATTCAAGTCTTGCAATTTTCAAGATCTACTATAGTCCTGTTTGTTTGCTGTGTTGATTTTAATTTCCAACTTATTTGTTTCTTTGCTATCTAACGATGAAATGTGTCTAAGTTGTTTCTATGTGATGCTTTCACGTGGTACCTACTTTCTTTGGTTACTCTAGACTATGATAGATTAAGAAAGTAAAGGGTGGTCTTGGTTGTTGAAGTGCTAGTATTCAATATGAAGGACGTTAATCTTGAGGTTGTATATGGCTTTTGTTAGGGCGTGCAAGGTTATGTTGTTGATTTAATGTATTGTACAAAAAAGTGGTATGTTGCTAGGTTTTTTAATATAACAACCACAAGTTTCAACTCTATAATGGAGATATTCCTAATTTGCAATTAAAGCTTAATTTTCCAAAAAAATCATTTCTAATTGTAAATCACGTTAATTGGACTTTCTCATGTAAAACAATTGCTTCTCATATATACTTTTTGAAACTGAACTATAGGAATCGATACCTTTACTAAGGGTATCGATACTTATAAGACAAACTATCATTTGTACCTATTCTAATATGAAGGTATCGTACTTATGTTAATTGTATTGATACTTTTTTCCCAAAACCCTTGTTGAACAAGTATCGATACCTTTCATAAAGGCATTGATACTTCACTCATATTTTGCACTTTTTCAACACTTAGGCACTTTTAGCCCTTTTATTCTTTGTGCCCTCTTAACCTACACCTTACACAACCCTTTGAGGCACCTTTGTTTTCATATAAATCCTCACTTGAAATCAAGAGTCAACCTATCTTGCCAATCCAAGACATTATGGCATTTCATAGCTTAACACATTTGAGCAATTTACACAATAGTTATCAATTCATATAACATCAAGCACTCATAATACACAAACTCAACGTATACATAGTAAGCACATGAAACATTTAGCCATTCACACATATACATACTATGAATGGTATAGGTAGGAAATTTTGGTGGCACGACACCACCATCCTTGCTTTCCACCATCACTACCCAATGATCAATGCATATCATAACCTTTGAAGTTGGGACGACAACACCGTCACTGTGTAATGTATAACATATGTCATGGTCTTTATAAGCAAGAATAAAACCATCATCCCTATAAGACTTACTCTAGGTCCATCTTTTCCATGCCTCTGCAGGCGAGAACATCACCATTATCCTTGCAAGAGCTATAACTTATAGGTAAGAATGACACCACCATCTTTGTAAGGACTATATCATACATACACATTGCATTTTATCCATCACATACACAATACAAATCATAACTCACATAACTCACACACAATTCTTAACATACCTTTACATACCTTTTATTTCAACTCATTTAGTCATAACATTTCAATATTTTTATACTTTGACATGCTTAGAGGATTATGCTTTTACACAACAGCATAATCAATGCCAATCAACTCAACATGACATACCACTAATGTTCGTCATTACCATGTTATCATTTCAACATGTCAGCTCATTAAGCTCTAACCCTTTACCATGTCATATTTAACGTTTAGGCATACTAAGCCTTTCACATGTCAGCCTACTCTACATTCAAGACCTTAACACATTAAGATATAATAAGCCACCACCTCAGGCTTTAACATCCTAACATGTCATGTTTAATATTTAATAGATTAAACTTTTCTTGCCATAACTTAAACTTTTGATCATGTCACACTATCATTCGACCTAGGAAGCCTTTGAACATT